AAGTCTTGGTTGCACTGAGCGGGAGCCCATCCTTGGTTTGACACCCGGTGCACCAGAGTGGTATGCGTGCCACTGGCACTACATCACCCTCGCCTTCGCCTCATCAAAAGAGTATAATGGACAGTGAGCTTATTAGTAAAGGTCTAAAGTAAAGGTCTTTCTTTATTTTTCATTTTATTTTTCACATGTCACGATTGCAGAAGAATTATTGCCACGTTCAGAGCACACCGAACCCTTTATGAGCATTCTTTTCGGGCAGTTCGGGTGAATACGACCCTTTCATTCAGCGCTCACCTTGATCCTCCTAGTGAGAAGTGTACGATGATTTGCTTACCGGCAAGGTAATCAGCTTCTATGCTTATTCATTGACTTTCAGTGACGTATTTAGCACAGTAGTTGGAATTCCAGTATTCTGACCTTCAAAGGTTTAAGGTTCTCAACTTCCGAAATAGGAAATCTAGGCTATTGATTAACTGGTGCCTGCTTTTCGAGCTTGTGACCCTAATCCTGAAGTAATGTGTTTATTAATACATCAATAAAGAACCAATCTCTCTAAAGCTATCGCATCGAGGCCGCGACGGCAGATTTCCTAAGGTAACCCGTTTGCTAAACACGCTTGGAGAAAGATTTACGTTTATGAGTGCGAATGACCCGCTCTCGAATTGATGCCACAATCCCCGAAAACTTTCTCTTGGGTTTCTATAGCGCGACAGATTAGCGCCCGAGTGGCGAGAATACAACATAAGGAGTAAGTGAATCGAGCCGGCTCCAGTGAAACCTCCCAAGAACGAAACCTTGTAATGCGCTCTAATTTCCCAAATAGTGACCGGAAGATCACGCGAGTGTGACGCAGTTTTAGAGGCAGTTGGCACGACAATTTGGTACTCTGTCTAAAATGGTAACAGGGGTGCTAAATAGGGGCAAAGTGGCAAAAAGCGAAGTGAAACGATCAAAACCTGCAAAAAAAGCCTTTGTTCTACACGACTCAGAAAGCAATTTTGGACGAGTTTCCCGTTGGCATCGTGCCAATAACCGCTATGCGGTAGATACGGCCGTAAGCCTGCGGTAGATAAAGTGCATGCATGTACTCTCACCATGCAACACCGCAGCCGCTTCATGGTCGATCCTTTCGCCTCATACTGTATTCGGCAATAAGCGATAGGAGCAGTAGGATCGATCGGGCACTTGTGGGCGGG